TAGCTAAGGATATGTGTGTGTAAACCAAGGTACCTGTATTTTCAGTGTTTATAGCATTGCTCTAAACAAGGCAATTTCAGCATTTGCTCACAGATGTAAACATTAATTCTAACCTGACCCTAATATACTCTCTGCTGCAACTCAACTCACAGGGAATACACAAACCGTGTTTGCTCTGAAACCTTATGGGGGAAAAAATGTATTAAACAAGTAAACCAGAGAATTACATTCTCACTTTTTTCCCCAAACACAAAACTTAGTTTTCCCTGGGGGCATTCAATCAAACCAGCTACACACTTTTTGGGCACATGGGCTGCAAGTCACAGTTTCCCTCAAAACTAGCACGGTTTCAACCAGACCGGAAAACCAAGAATCAACTTGAATCCCAAGGTCAGATCCTCTGGCTAGCTTTAATTCACTGTCAAATTTCAGCCTGCAGCATTTTTACATCACATAAAAACATGAATATCTGAATAAAGGTTTGAAAAAAAAAAAAAAAACTGGCAAGTGAGATTTCTGTCTAGCAAAGCTGCTGTTCTAGCATACTGCAATTTCTCAAGAAGGAAATTAAGGTAATGAGGTCGGAGAAAAGCACAACACTTGCACCATGTTTGTTTATGAGAAGCACTTAGGAAACACACAGATCATCAAAGAAAACTTACACTGAGCAGCCCAGCACCTCCAAATGAGTAAGCAACCCTCAGCTGGGAACAGTTTGCAGAATAGCAAAGGGTGGGCACACAGCCTCTCCCATATCTCCCTGATAGAGGCACAACACTCTCCTGGGGCATTCTCTCATTAGTTTTAGTGAAAGGAAGCACAGTGCTTGGAAGGTTTTACTTTTTCCCCCAACATCTACCTCATACCACCCTTGCTGCACAATTGCTGCGTGTGAACAGCCCCACTACCTCATGCAGATGTGCCCCTTTGGCCAGGAGCAGGATTTCTATCTCTGCAAGGCCAGGACAAGCTTTGGGGTGGGACAGCGGTCTCTTCTGCAGGCAGAAAAGCCAAGCCATGGTCCCAGGCACTGTGGTTTGTGTTTTAGCTTATGAACTATTTGGGCAGTCATCAGGGCTCAGCACTCTACTGGCTGTAAGTCTGCATTTGGGCAGAGGAAAGATGAGATATAGAACAATCACATGGGTAACTTAGAGCTGAGAGTATTGAAAATAAGCACAACAGAAACAAAATAATAGGTAAAATATATTTAATAAATACATGTAAATAATAATAAATGAATGTACCAGGTGGTTCTAAAACTTACTTCTACCTAAGTTACCTGTACTCTGCATGTACTGAGAAAGAAAAGGGGAAGAGTGTGTTTAAAATGCATTTCAGATGGCTTCTCCTACAAGCTTCTTCAGGTTTACTTTTCTTTATTAAGTTCAGAAAGGTGAAAGTAGATTTGTACTTTGCAAGGAGAATAGTAGAGGAAAGAAGAAATCGGAGATGATGACCAAAAGTCTGAATGTATTCCTTGCTGGTGACTACCTGCCAAGTGACTATTGTTGAGTTTTCAATCACTTCTGAAGTTCCTGAAAACTACTGATATCTTGAGCCATTTCACCCAAACAGGTCCTGTGTCAGCTTCTCCAGAACTGGCCTCGAACACTTGGATTTTTTTTTAATTTTTTTTAATATATGGAAACACCAACTTTATAGTCTGCAAATATACTTTAATTACCAATGTATGTGCCTACTGGATTGATGATTTAAATCGCCTCATAATTTAACTACAATTCAACACAGACTAATTTGTTGTTTTCATCATGGTGTCCAACTGATCTAATTGCTTTATTTTAAATTGGGTTTAATAATATTCTTAAACAGCACACCTTTGGGCAACAGCCTCTCTTGATTTTACTCGTTTAAGAATGTTTTATTGCAAGTTATTATTTAAAAATTATTTCTCTGGACAACCAATACATGCCCAAACCTTGAGGCCATTAAACTAACTGCAAACCTGACCATTTCCCTAAATGGGACTGGTTCTGAAAATGAGTTTCTATGCCTGCCTCACTCCAAAACTCATTTGTAGCTGCTTTCTCTGGCATAGTGATGGCTTTCTCCCCCATGCTCCTGCAGCACTATGAGAGCCCCCAGCACACAGACTAATGCCAGTGCTCGGTATGTGTCCATGGGGCAGGCAGAGATCAGCAAAAGTCAACTTGCACCTGGCACACACCACTGAGTTTGGAGATGAGTCTGGTGTTAAAATGCCCGCACACCAGCACACGTGGGTGCTCCCCGAGCAGGGGATGGAGAGAAACACCTGCCTAGTGGGGAGCTGCTCGACCTAGGGTGCAGATGACTGAAGGCTGCCTAAGTCCTGATTTGGGGAGTACAATTTGGAGCTAGATCCCTCTTGACTTGCAACGACAGCAAAACCCTGCTGCGGACAATAGGGGCAGTATTCCTGCCCTGCGACACCCTTCCCATGGGGAATCAATGATGCTTCTTCCCCCCTGCAGCACCCACCCCCTACCTGGAGCCCAAGCCCTTTGGCACACACTCTGTCTCTCTCTCTGTATGGCTCACGCAGCGGGGCCCCACTCTCTGCCAAAGGTGCTAGCTACTGCCAGGCTGCAGGAGGACGGGGGTGGAAAAACAACGGGAGGATGAAAGGAAAGATATTACATTATAGCTTTTTAAATGTAATACGCTAGGAACACCAGGTACCACGCAACTGTTGTCCTCTAGGGCATGGTCTCCGCTATCTTTAATTGTCATCCAGCACTTAGATTAGGTAGATAATAAAGGGAACGGTAATCACAAACAGACCTTCTGCATGAGCAAAAATGCTCACCATGACAAAAACTGTAGCCAGATATAGATGTATGTCAGATAAATCTGAAGGATCATAACTTGCTACAGCACTAGCATACAAATAAACCTAGATTTATATACGTGTGTGTGTAGTACAGCATCCAAGTATCTTTATTTACCATTTAATATAAGATGAAGAAAGTAGCATGCAACATTATCAAATATTATTCAAATCCTTTGTTTTTTTAATGTTCCTATGGAAAACATTCCAAATTGGAAAAACTTGCCCAAAGATTTTAAGATAAACGCGAGGAAACTATTGAGGGAATGACCACTAAAATAAAGATAGAAACGCTAGGAAACTTGCCGTGACTTGGTTTTGTTTCCATTTGAAAGCAATCAGCCTCAGCCTGATCCTTACCCTTCGTGACATCAAACCCTGATTAAACGCGGTCTAGAGTTTCAGTCCCCGAGCACGGCGGTGCTGGAGAGGAGCGGCGGGCAGAAACACGGCGTGCTGAAGATCGATGCCTGGTGTCACCGGGCAAAGAAAAAACTACGTGGTGTGCACAAGCGCCACCACGAGGTTCTTCTTTCATATTCCAAAATATTATTTCCCCCTGCAACCCTCTGCACAGCAACCTGTGCCCCTTGGGCACACGCCCAGCACCCTGCGGGCAAGCTGCTCACTTACACCAAGCATTGGCTGCTGCCTCTTCAGGGAGCACTGCACACGGGAAGCAAAACAAGCTAGATTATTATTTTTATTTTTTAAAGGTTCCTCTCAGAACAGGGTGTGAAGGGGAAGATGTATCTACAACACAAGCAGGTTTTGACAACGGAGCTTTGAAATGTTGCAGTACAAGAAAACAAGGCCGCTGCCCAGTCCTGAATCTGGAAAATGTTAAATCCCACCTTATCAGCCACCTAAACAGGCAGCAGGGATCTGCTGCCGACCTGCCTCCCATCAAAACCTGTTCAATCCTATTTCCCTGCCCATCCCCAACACAATTGTGAGATTCAAGTAATAATAATAATCTGATAGCGGGACACTAGAGACCATTTTTAAAGGTAAGCAGACATTTTCATCAGATTTCTTTTCATCATGGAGTGAAAGCCAGTTTTGTCCTCACCACTGCCCTTCCATGGGTTGATGAGAACAAGCTAAAAAGCCACAGTTTTTCCACTCCTCTACAACACTGCTAACCAAAGAGTAATTGCTCTAGCCCCAGCCTTGTGCTTGCAGAGCCCCTGAGGTCAGGATCTCGCCAAGGTGCCTGAATGGGCTACCCCAGCAGCAAGCTGCAGTGGCTCATGGTGGCTCCAGACACCCCTTGGAGGGGAAGGCAGCACCCAGGTGCTTGGCAAACACAGGTGCTTCTTGCTAGTGAGGGCTTGGCTGCCCTCTGTGGATGCACATCCACCCTGCTCTCCCATCTTGGTGGGAAGCCAAACTATAGGGCACCCAGAGATACAAAGGCCCCCACATACCATATGCAGCCAGGTAAGGCAGCAGATTCAGAAAAATATGCAAAGGACAGATTAACAAACTGATAGTATTTACTACTGCCTGTGTTGAATCAAGTCTTTCTTGGCCATTCTTTACCACGCAGGCAAGCACCAATGCATCTCCCCCTGCCAACTGCTCAGCTTCCAGGACAGGCCAGAAGAGGTGTAGCAGATCTGAGCTCACACCAAGGCTTCAGACGAAAAGAAAGCAGCACCATGGCTTCAATGTAGATAGCACAGACCATGCACGCTCCTTAGGCAGCAGTGACACCTCACAAGCACCAAAGACCTGATTCATTTTCACCATCGCCCATCAGATAATTTTTACAGATTTTTTGAGGGGGCTGGGGGAAACCTTGTGCTGGCCCCAGGCTACGCAGTCATTACACGCAGCCTCCACCAGTCCCATCCTCTATCCTGTCCTGTGGGATCTCAGGAGACAACAGCCAGCTCACTAGGGCTCACTTCAGCATCCCTACCTAGTTTCAGGGGCCCCTGATCTCCTTTTTCTGGGCAGCTTATTCTCTCAGCTCACTCCCAAGATTTAAGGTGATTTAAACACTTCAGGATTAAAGGCTTACATTCCTTTAAGCAGCTAAGGTGGCTTAAACACTTACACCGCTTTCAGGGTTTAACACAGCTTAACCACCTATGCCACCTGATGAACTTGCAGGAGCTTAAAAGCTTACACTTAAAACAATAAAAAGGCAGCTTTACCATACCGCTGTGCTTCAGGAGCGATGCCTCTTTTGCTGGCCCCTGTTCCCCACTCCTGGGTCAAGCCAGGGGGCTGCAGGGCTTCACCCAGGAGGATGCCAGGACCACACCATGCCCTTACCTGCTCCTGCTGGCAGGGACAGGGCAGAACTGGGCTCAGCAGGCACTGGGCGGGGGTCCCAGGGGAACCTCATCCCACCCCGAGGTGCGGCACCTGGGGTGGAGCAGCTGCTTGTGTTCCTTCCCAATTAAGCATCAAGCTGTGGCTGTTTCTCGGGCGGGGAGAGCCCAGCCTCCTGCTCCCGTGCTTTCCCCTGCGAGGGCAATAATGATGGCTTGGGTCTGCAGGCTTGGGCTGGTGGTGTTTACACGATCTCAGGTCGTTTCAGATTTATAGCCAATGAGTTCGCCAAGGGTGATTAAAAATGGAAATAGCAAGGTCTCGTAAAGCCTTATCTCAAATCAAAGCTTAATCCAGGAAAAGCAATGTGTTTTTTCCTCTTTACTTCCTGTGGAGGGAAAACAAACAAGCAAGCAAACATTTCTGGTGAAAATAAAGTGAGCAGATTTCTGTCAGAAATGTCTCATCCTCCAGCATAGAAAACAGTTGTTATTATTATTGTAGCCTAAACAGTTTCTTCAGATCTTAGGCTCTGCTTGCACACTGCACAGCCAGCTGGGTCTGTGCAAAGCTGTGTGCAGGGCTGAAGCTGTCTTCTGATCATGCTGAGCTCCAGTTGATGAGCTGTCAAGGATGCCAGAATATGACAGAAGCAGTGAAAAAAAGGTGAGAGGGTGAGAGAGGAGAGGAGAAAAAAAAAAAAAAAAAAGTCCATTTACAGAGACCCGACTCAGGGTAAAAGTAAATGTGCTGGTAGGTCTCCTTTCACTGAAGAAGAGTTTGGGGACCATCTCCTAAGCTGGAGGTGACATCTGCTGCAAGTGGCAACAGATACAAGCTCTGGCAGCACTCAGGACTTGGCAAAATGGGCTTAAATTGGGCACCCTAAGTCATCTGTAGGGCTCAGTGCCATGGAAGCCAACTGAGGCTGAGAGTTACAGGTATGTTGTTTAAAGGAACAAACTGAATGCAGACAATAAATGGCAAAAATATGTGGAGCTGTAGGAAACGGACTACTTTGAAGCACTTCCACAAGGGATGTTAGATACTCAGGGTATTTATTTTCCAGGTTTGGAACAACTTCAAGTAACAGAGAGGCTGGCCTGCAGGGAGATCACACCCGTAAGCACGCCCTGCAGGAAAGCATGCTGAAATATTCCCCGAAACAGCGTGCACTGGCCTTGGCGTGTGCCAACAGCCAGCCTGGGGCAATGCTGTGGCCACTCAGCACAGCTGCCCCTTGCCTCCCCTGGGGATGCCGTGGGTCCCATCCCTTTCCTGTGCTGCCAGCAGTGACCAAACCAGGCTGGACACTGGATGTACAGGGATTGTGCAATTTACAGAAGTCACAGCAGGAAGGCTGGCTTCCCATAAAACATCTCTATAAGAAGATCTATTCAGTAGCTGATTAATGAATGTGGCTTACCACAAAATGATACTACACAGGCCTACTCTCTTCAATAATAATCCCATAAATAATTTTACTAAAAATCCCAGAAATACCCAAACTGCGCTGGAGCTGCGTTGTGATCCCAGCGCCTAGCCTGTTGTTTCTCCCTTTTAGGCAAATCAACACCAACATAACTCTTGGAGGGAGTTTCTAGGTGAAGACAGGAGCGAAGGGGCAGGGACGTGCCTGCGGGCGCGGGGCCAGTCCCACGCTCTTGGCCCCAGAAGAACGTGCCAGGTGATGGGATGTCAAAAGCCCTTGGACACACACTCAGGGGAAACCTCCTTTTGTGGTGGAGGCCACCCAGGGGCTGCAGCTCGCCGGGGATTGCCCGGCTCTGCCAGCAGCACCCCTCCGCTCCTTGCAGGGGGGAGCCGGGGCTCGGTTCAGCTTGCGGAGAGGGGCGCTGCCACGGCGGGGGGGTGCCGAGAGAGCGGGCATCCCGCAGCCTCTGCCCGCCCTGCGAGCACCCCTTGGGGCTCGGGGAGCTGCTGGCTCGGCCCCAGGTTTGGGGAAGCGGCCCCGGCGGCATCACCGCCGGAGGAGAAGGGACCAAGTGTGGGCACGGCGGGCCGGGGGGCAGAGGAGTGTCCTGCGGCTGCAGGGCAGGCTGGTTAACTGCAAAGCTCACCTCCAAGCACCCGGCACCCGAAAGCAGCCCCCCTGCCCGGCCGAGGGGCTCCGAGGGCTTTGGTGGCTCTTTGTTCGCGGGGCTCTCTCCCCCCTTTCCCCGTGCGCGCCCGGCACCGTTTCTCGCAAGGATTTCCTGCCAAAAGACAATCCCCCTGAGCAAAAGCAGAGCAAGAAAGTAGTGACCAATCCTTTCTGGATGGCTGTCACCAGGCTCCTCCCAGCCCCCGCTCCCCCTGCCATTTGCATACAAAAAATCCAGCAAACTCCCGTTTGCCCCCGCATCTCGCTCAGAGCCTCCGTCCCCGTCTGCCAGGCAGCAGCCCCGGCCGGGGCCCGCTCGGCACCCCGATACCCGGGCACCCCGACCCCTCGCCACCCCGGCACCCCGAGCAGCCCCGGCAGCGCCCCGCGATGCAGCGCCGCCTCTGCGCCCTGCTCCTGCTGGCCTCCCACTGCCTGGGCTCGGCCGCCGGGCTCTTCCCCTTCGGGGAGCCCGACTTCTCCTACAAGCGCTCCAACTGCAAGCCCATCCCCGCCCCGATGCTGCTGTGCCGGGGCATCGAGTACCAGAGCATGCGGCTGCCCAACCTGCTGGGGCACGAAACGGTGCAGGAGGTGCTGGAGCAGGCCTCCACCTGGATCCCGCTGGTGCAGAAGCAGTGCCACCCCGACACCAGGAAGTTCCTCTGCTCCCTCTTCGCCCCCGTCTGCATCGACGACCTGGACGAGATCATCCAGCCGTGCCACTCGCTCTGCGAGGAGGTGAAGGAGAGCTGCGCCCCGGTCATGTCCGCCTTCGGCTTCCCCTGGCCCGACATGCTGGACTGCAGCCGCTTCCCCAAGGACAACGACCTCTGCATCCCGCTGGCCAGCAGCGACCACATCCTGCCGGTCACCAGGGAAGGTAAGAGCCCCCTGCTGCCCTCCCCGCGCTGCCCCACGCTCGGGGGTCCGGGGGAGCCCCGCCGAGCCCCGCCGCGGTGCCCGAGCCCCCAGCCCCCGAGCTGGGGCTGTGGGGCTGAGGCTGGCACCGCTCCGCAGCCCCCAGCCTGGCCCCAAACCAGCACTCGAGCTCCCCAAGCCGGTAACGGGGGCGTCCTCTTCCCGCAAAGATCGGCGCTTCAAGCGCCCTGCTGGGGTCTTTCCCCATTTAAACAACAACAGAAGTTTAGGGTTAGGTGTGACCCCAAAAGCAGCCCGTGCGCCCCCCTCCAGCGGCTTGCCGAGGTGAGGGGCGGCCAAGTGGAAAGGCAGCGCAGGGTGGGAGAAGGCGCGCAGCCTGTCTGCCTGTCCGTCCATCGAGGGATGGAAAAACCGCCAAGGTTTCCCCCAAGGGTCCCCGACGCCACCTGCTGTTCCTTTCTCCCCGAGCCTGACGAGCACTGTCCCTTGCGTTTCCAGCACCCAAGGTCTGCGACGCCTGCAAGAACAAAAACGAGGACGATAACGACATCGTGGAAAACCTCTGCAAAAATGACTTTGGTAAGTGGAAGCAGAGCCCCTCGGTTAAAAGTTGAGGGATTAGGAGCAGGTAAAACTCCCGGCTGAATCAGAGAGAAGTGCCTGAATAAAGGCAGGGCTTTGTCTCGTCTGCAGATGGACCCGTCCGTCCCGTTGCGTCCGACCGTTCCGGTCATGAAACGCAAAATTGCGTCTCCAAATAAAAAGTGGCCCCGTCAGAGTCCTTTTCTGTGCGCTGCTTCGAAGCAGTGCTCTTTTATGTGGATGTTGCAGGCAAGACGAATAGAAAGTGAAATGAAAAAAAGGAATCTTTCATCTAGACTATTGCCTGGGGAGAGGTACAGCAAAGCTTCCCTTAGACACATGAGAAAGAGCTGCATGACCAATCTCACCGTGTAGCGAGAAAGAAAGTTTATCCACAGATTAAGAATGAAGCTCTATATATCATTTGACAGAGAAGGTAATGCACAGACAATTGGGGATATAAACTTAATGTGAAGATCTGGGGTTAGAAGAGGACAAGAAAGCCCCATCAACGCAGACAACTGAACAGCACATTATCCACACATTAGCATTTCAAGAGAAAAGGGGAATAGGGAGGGGAATCCTTTTATAAGAGGTCAGTGTTTATACCTGGAGACAGACTTGTACTATAAATATCTGCAATATAAAAAAGATTTTCTTAAATATTAAAAAAAAAAAAAAAAAAACTGGAACCCTGCTTGTGGGACATAATTGCTAAAACAACCAATAGCTTTGACCTGGCAAATTGCACTCAGATAAATCCTCCTAAAGCTAAACATGCCCCACAGATTCTTAAAGAACCTTGTATCCCCCTCCTAGTTATTTCACCAAATCGAATGCAGCTGTTGGACCAATTTGCCCTCCGCTGGATCTATTCTTTCAAAAAAACAATGCATGTGAAATATCATTTCCTTGCAGGTTTGCCTAAAATCCTCTCCAACCTAATAAATTAAGTTTAGAAGTTTTCAGCCACAGCAGAGATCAGGTTTCAGATTAGGTTTAGGTACTCGCCTCCCCACCTCCCCTTCATATTCTAGGGTTTCAGGAAGACGGTCCCGTCCCAGCAAAAAAAAAAAAAAAAAAAAACAGAGTGCTGCTCAACGTAACAAAGCTGCCCTCTCTCTGTTTGCAAACAGGAGAAAAGCTGGAGAAAATATTAATTTAGAAAGGAAGGAAAAAGAGGGGGAGGGGGAAGAGGAGAAAAGAAGCCCAAAAACCCCTCAGTCCTAAGGTTGATTCAAACTGAAATGACTTGCATGCCCTTTGTGGCTTTAGAAATGGAGCCACCTGCTGCCTCTTCTGTCAGCCCTGACAGTTTAATTAGCAATAGAGCACCTCCCTCCCCAGGTCCTCTTTATGTGCACTAATGGGAAAAAAACTCTCAATCTCTCTCCCTCTCTCCCTCATCCCACTCCCCCCTCCCCTCACTCCATTAGCCTTGAAGATAAAAGTGAAGGAGATTGCCTACATCAATGGGGATACCAAGATCACCCCCGAAACAAAGAGCAAGACCATCTACAAGCTGAATGGGCTGACGGAAAGGGATCTGAGGAAGATCGTGCTCTGGCTCAAAGGTGGCCTCCAGTGTACCTGCGACGAGATGAACGACATCAACGTCCCCTACTTGGTGATGGGGCAAAAGCAAGCTGGGGAACTGGTGATCACCTCGCTGAAGCGGTGGCAGAAAGGGCAGCGGGCTTTTAAGCGGTTCTCCCGCAGCATCCGCAAACTGCAGTGTTAGTGGCTTCGGCTCTGGCCGCCTCCAGCAGCCTCCTCTGTCCCGAGCTCTCCGGGCCTCCCGCACCTTCTTGCTTCGGCTCCTCTGAGCCTCGAGATGCCCTGGGCAGGAGATGCAGCGACCATTCTCCGAGAGGGGAGGGAGCCCTCTGTTTCTGTACATAGGTTAAAGTGTAATAATAAAAAAAAAAATAATAATATCATGACTATTTTTGGGAAGTATTAAAGTATCTCACTTAACGCTTTTTTTTTTTTTAATGGTTGCAAATGTGACTTTGGTCTGAGGTTTTCCCTCTTCATTTTGGTAATGCTGGTTCGTTTATATTGCTGCTTCTCTGTATACATGCATATCTGTTGTGCAGAAGTAGGAGACGCAGAGAAGACAGCCATGTGTGCAACTGGCGTGTCACAGGGGGTATGACTCTTTCACTGAGGTGAAATGGCTTGCCATCTATATTAACACTATAAAGGTCATGTTACGACTCTTGCATGTGATACATAGGCATCAATAAGAGTATATTAATCATTCTCATGTTTTATTTTCCACAAGTCTGAGCCCTTCTCTCAGAGGTAAAAAAAAAATGAACAGGTTCTGGAGCTGGTTCATCTGAATGCAACTTTTTTTCTTATTATTTTGCAAATTAAACCATCTGTAGCCTAACTGTAATATACCTAGTGGTTAACCTGAAAGAGTTGTAAAATATTGCTTTAATTAACCTTGTAAATATTCCAGATAAATGTTATATTCTTGTATATAAACTTTACATCATAGTTTACCCATTGTCTTGGTCTGTTTTGGAATGAGTTCACTTCAATATATTTTGGGAGAAAGCTGACCAACTGGGCTTTGTCATGGCAAAGCACTATTTGCCCTTCCACCCCAAATCACCAACAGAGAAGCACGGTGAAACATCTAGTGCTGCAATCAAAAATAAATAAATAAATAAATAAAATTGGACCTCATTTCCCTGAAGACCAACCCCTGAGACATGGGACTTGAGGTTCAGTTACCTCATCTTAATATATTTCTGTTGAGCTCTTCAACACTAAGAGTTTTCTGTGGTTTCTTTGTTTGACTGCCTGCAGTTTCATCCCATCTTCTCAGAAGACCCTGCTCTTTGCTGAAGAGGAATGACAATGAGACCAGTTGCTTACAAATCAAATCCATTTATCTGTTCCTTACACTTGAAATAGTCATATTGAGGAGTTCAGGAGTAGAGTGAAAAATCTCATTTGCTACTAACAATTCACAATAATTTAAATGGTAGGAACAAGGCATGTTTTGTGTGTATGTACACTCACTATTCTTAGAAAATAAAACATCATTTGCACTACCTAATAGCGTAACCAGAGCAATGTCTTTCAGCATGTTGTCTGTGGAAGAGCATTATGTGCTAGAACATTATTGTATTTACCCTGGAAAAGTCTTGCTTCCCAGTGCTGTCACACATGTAAAATTCCTTTTACCCTCACCGAGAGAATGAGAAGCTCGGTATTTCCAAGAACAATGTCTTATGCTAACTAAAGACTGAATGCAAATCCAACCCTAGATTTTTTAAAAGTAAAATGTCATACTAATTTCATATATTTGGTGTGTTGTTGTTTTTTTTTGTTTTGTTTTTCACTTTTTAGAACAAGAAGACAAAATCTAAAGATACACCATGTTAAATCTGTTTTAGAAAAAAAGTCTCATTTTCCCTTTTACAATGTCTTCATACAGTCACTACACCCAACACAAACAATGGTAGGGCTCTGTGAACAAGCAAGACAAGATCAGCCCTGACAAATGTCCTCAGAAATAAAGTAACAACAATAATAATAATAAAAAGCCCCATTCCAAAGTGGTTCTTCATTCTTTTGTGAAACACTATCTCTATTTAAAGGCCAATGTGTTGCTGAAATGTCTTTACAACTTTTCTTCTGAATGGACCTGGCCTCTTGGGAAACAGATTTGAATCTTTTCACACTAGGGAGTAACAATTTTAATATCAGTACCATGTTCATCGTCATCCAGATGTCACATAGCTCTACCCACCTCACTTGGCACATAATATCTGTCACTGAATGGGTCCTGGGTATTTCAGAGGGAACAAGCTCACAGAGAAAGGGGAGCTGTCTGAGGACGAGCCTGCAGAAAATAAGATTGTGCTGCCTGGTAGAGGAAAGCACTTTGAAGAGGCAGCAGTTGCAACGCACACTTTGGGGACCAAAAACGAACAACCAGGACTGCTCCACTCAGCCTGCCCTGCACTAAGTCCTCCTGCAGCAACCATAAAATTATCTTAATTGGGCTGTCCTAGAAGGCAGCAGTACTGACGCTGATGAGGACAGACAGGTCACAAGTTACTCACTCTGGGGTCATACTGAGGCCAAGTCTACATAACAGAATTTTGCCAAATGGCTTGGATGTATGAAAAGACATTATCTATGACCAACATCGCTCCATCTTAGAAAAACATTCCCTTTCCTACACCACAAAATAAACACCGCTACACCAGCAAAATCCTGTTCCTGTCAGGACAAATTCAGGAGAACAAGAATACGCTAGACCAGCGAACGTTCAATTTCGCAAGCACAATCAGTGTCCAGGATTAGGAGCATTCTGCCATGCAGCATACCCCAGCTGATAAAGCCTTCCACGGAGGCCCTGGACTGACTCACTGGGACTATCCGCCCCCAGGGTGAACTGGCAGTGGTGGGATTACCTTTCAGATAAGCAGGATTTAGGCAAATGTCAGGAGTAATGGAGTCACGTTTTCCCAGTTAAGTTGCATTACGCTGTTCTAACAGCATCGTGGTAAAAGACGGGTAACACTCCCCCTGCCAAGGAGAGGGAGTATCAGGGGTGGTGTTATACAATCCATTTCCAAAGTTGTACAAACCAGACACTGCAAACTATTCAACCGAAAATCAGAAATTCAAAGTCACAGCCTGAGGAAGCTTCATCTCACATCTACTGGTAAAGAAACAAACAGACATTTTTCATATTTTTCCCCTTACTCATATTCACCCAACAATAACTGAAAATCTTTGTGTCAGGCAAAGAGTGAACAAAACACAAAACAAAAAATTATCTGGACCTGTTACTTCTGATCAGAGCTTGGCACTTATTTTGGAGTTGCTTCATTACCTGGTATGCTATGGTTCAGTATGGTTCAGCAGAAATTTGTTTGCAATTGATGAAAACAGGCAACACACTGTTGCATTTTTCAGACACTTTTTGTCTTCCTCTAATTAAAAAAACATTGTTAGGCAGCCAATTATGTAGCTCCATTGTATTTGCTTTCATAAAAACTATAAAAGCAGTTGACTACAATGAATTAGTTTAAGAACAATAATAATGATACTTGACATTTATACAGAAGTTTCCATTTAAGTTTCTCAGACTGCCTTCACAAAAATAGGCATTAATATCCCAATTTTGCAGATCAGGAAAATGAGGCACACCGAGGTGAAGCAACTCACTCAAAACCACCCAGCAAGTCCTTCGCAGTCATGAAAAGAAGTGTATTTTTTGATTCCAAGTTTTACGCTCTAATCACTAGACCACAGCAATCAGAATGGTATATAATCAAGGCTGCACTAAGATCATAATTTGAAGTCATAATAGTATTCAAGGCTCCCTCCAACTTCTTCCTTCCCCCCAAGTGTATAAGAAAATGACTGCCTAAATCCAAATTTAAAACCCATGAGCAATGTTGCTTGCAGTCTTTCCCTTTCTTCCTTATTTATCATCCTCTCTATCCTTTAATTACTTCTTAATCCTTTCCTTTCTCCCCCAGTTCTCGTTCACTTCAGATACCCACAGAGAAGCCACTCAGCCTCTCTCTCTCACCCCCTCTCATGCAGACACTTTCTCCCCCAGTACGTTTTATTAAAGGACTCATGCGGCATAACTATGCGCAAGCCACAAAAATCCTAATGACCAGCTTAAGCCATGAGAAGACCCACGTGGGAAATCCAGCAAGAGACATTTACATTTAATTAATGATTCTCTGCGAGGACAGGAGGGCGGTTAGATGCCACAAGGACCGCCACAGACACGTACCACTCACCGCAGGCACAGCCACTAGCCTTATTCTGCAACAGGTTTTTAAAGAGTATAGACTGCATAAAGAACATACAGATAAAGTACACCTTCCCTTGCACAGCCAGGTCTCCCACACCTCAGCCCTGCTGTTATAACTCTTGTTGTCCCACCGGGACCATGATGCACCTATCCCAGCCCTCTTCCTGATGTCTCGCTACCTCTCTGTGGTCGTACAAGGCACCGGCCAAGAGCAGAGCCACCATGACCCCACCACATCATCCTCCAGTGCCTGCTAGATCAGGAGATACCTCCTTAAAAGTGGCAGGGCAGCCCTTTGGTTGCTCCTTCTGCTGCCACCCTCACCACACTACCAGCCCTGTTAATCCCTGCGACGTGTCCACTGCTGGCAACACCAGAGAAGAGCGATGGATTGATTGCTACCAGAGCAGTAGGCGGCCTCCTTCAGGTTGGGCAGCCCAGGCTTTTGGTTTTGGAGCCAGAAGCTCTCATTTCTAGGCTTCAGAGATATGCCTCTATGATTTATCTACGAGTTGCCTTCTTATCAGCAAATGTAGATTCAGTACTGCCTGACTGTCTGATGAAACAACCACAGGAATGGATCTTGTTTGCCTCCGGATGAAGAGAAGAGTGCAAGACATTCACATCATAGGAATCCAAGACCTCAAGCTGCCTCACAAACATAAATTAGACCACGCTGTATCCCTCCGGGGTAAGTTTAATAGGGTAACATTTTCCAAATGCATCAACCCCCTTCAGGGTGAGCTGTGGGCTCCTAAATCACCTAGATGCCTTGGAAAATATTAGCAGCTCTCCTCCCCCCCGAGTAAGAGGTGGTTGGCGGAGGTCAGCCAGCAAGGCTGTCACCCAGCCAGGAGGAACACCTCAGCAATCAGCCAGCCAGCCCATCGTTCTCACGGCCGATCAAAATAACCAACCTACACGGAAAGCTGCACAGCAACGCAGCTGATGGAGCAAACTTCGATTACCGCACGCACAGAAAAGCTGTCCCGTAAGAAAGACCAGCACAGGTTAGGAGGCGTGCTCTGTGTCTTGCAGACCAGACTCAAGGAAGAGCACATGTGCTTATTAAAAAACCATGATAGGACAATGATATCAATGCAGCTCTTTCAAAACCTAAATGATTCAGATCATCATTTTGGAATAATTTTCAATCCACAAAGGTGATGCTAAAACCATAGCGTATTTTCTGTTTGGACACATTTTTTAGGGTTCCATTAGAGTCACAACCAAAACTTGCAACAACTCTTGGGAAAGATCTGAAAAGGTAGCAGAAATGCTCATTTAAGCACAAACGCTTTCAACTTTCCAGGTCTTTGTTTCCAGAGGTTAACCCCTGGCAGTCTTCATTAGACATTAAACTTTCCATATGGAGCCACTGTGGAAGGACAATTTAGAGTTTTCCATTGATACCTGCTTTTATTAGGCAAGAGATAACTAATCCGTCCCTGACAGTTTCCCTGCATTGTTAGCTTGCTTCAAATCCCTAGCGCTGTCTAATTGCCTTTTTTTGTTATGTGAATCTCCAGCCATGCACAATAGTGAACCCTGGCTGGTTACACACTGAGACAGGTGCTTTAGTGGCTGTAGAGCTCACATCATTAGGCACACACTGAGCTATTAATCATTTCAGTTTACTCTGAGGCATAAACCTGAATTAAGTTAGGCCACTTTACTAAGCAAAACAATAGCTTAATTGTAATAGGTAAAGCAAAAGACTTTTGAGAGGCAGAGTTTCAGGAACTAGAGCAACCAAAAAAATCAGCAAGAGAAGAAAACACACTGTAATTTAAGAAGGGGGTGGCAGCGGTATTAATTTGCTTTGAACAAGAGAAGCAAATGATTTTGGAGAGAATCTTATAGCCTCACACAGCCTCTTTGTTTCCTTCAGGTGCTGGACTCTTCAATAGAGAAAGATTTTCAATACCCTCACATTCTGTGATCTGTGACACTGCAATCATCGCAGTGGTGTTCACTGTGCTTTTTAGCACAATGGGGATTTTTGAAATAGAGTTTACAAAACTGAAGCATAAGCTCCATTTCCAAAGTATTCCTAGGTTTGATTTTAAAGTAAGTTAGACAATGAAAGGACCAAAAATCAATTTTGCTGGAAGCAGTATAAGAAATGTTATGTAAAACGCCATTAGGTGTTTACAGATGTTTATCCACTGCTAGACATATACACATATATTTAAAAACTTGGCTACATCACATATGTCCCCAAAGAGTTTAGTGTATATGTCAACCAGGGTTTTTGGAAACAGGATCTAGACTGTTGGAGATGTGAGCATATAGAAGTATCATAATCTGATCCACAAGTGTGGAAGGTTAAAATTACCTCAATCCTTCTGCTCCATCATTTCACTAGAATGTATGACACCCTGGGAGAGCTGAAATAGGATGCCCTGGCTGCTCCACGGAAGCAGGCTTCAGATATTCATAAGATCAGAATTCCAAAACTAACACATGAGAAATGTGCTCCATCTACCTTCCTCAGGGCAGATGCAGCGATCA